CTAGATCACAGAGTTCTGCAAATCTTTTTGAGCTTTTCCATCTCGCACCTAATTGTGCATTATGCTTGCCTTTTACAGTCACTTTCTTGAATTACTTTTATAATTTGATGTTAAGAATGCAGGTTAAAAATAAATGTGTTAAAACTCCACTTAACATACATATATGTGAATATATACACATGTATAAATACTCTTATTTTAGGCACAAACAAGAGCAAGAGGGTTGGTGCTAATTAATATAATGCATCTAGATATCTAGGCCTGAGCTGTTTCTCATGTTGCAGCCCCTTATTTTGAACTGCCTCCCGTATTTCTTCACCAAAAGATGTGTAGGCACACAAAAGTGTAACATGTCCAAAGACTGAACTCATTATCTTTTCCAGTCAGCTGCCTCTCTCCAGGCCTTCTGCATCTTTGCAATTCCCCAGCTCAGTTAATGCCCTCATAGCCACCTCAACATTAAGCTAAAAAAACCACTTGAGGCTGTCCTTAACCCCTCCATCTCCCTTACCTCCCATGCTAACTTAATTCACAATCACTATGTGGCCTTTGTTTCACCTCCATTGCCACAACCTTGTTTGAATCATTGAGGTCTTTCATCTTTACTCCTGATACATTCTCTCTTTCAACAGCTAGTCCCCACTGCCTCTCACCCTCCACAGTCTCCAGCTTTATATTCCTTAAAAAAAGAAAAAAAAAAAAGGGTCAGGTTACTTTTCCCTATTATGAAAAACTCTCTACAGGATCACTCTTTTCAATACTAATTAAAGAACAAACTATTTAGCTTGATGCAGAAGACATTCTCTTTCTGACCCCCCAAGCTGGCGACTTACTGCTAGCTACTCCACCCACTCTCTGAGAGTTCTATTTCCATTCAACTTGAAGCATTTTCAAAAGCACACACATCTTTGTATCACTTTAAGCCTTTACAAATGCCAAACATTAATGGGTAAAGGAGTGTCCTAATGATTTCAAGTGTAACTCCAAGTAACCTTGAAAATAAGCCATATTACCTCCCCAGAGCTTTATGAGATAGTATTTCTAATACTGAAATGTAGTAGATAATAAGATTGTGAATCCAGTTTTCTATAGAAGCCAGTAAAAGAAAAGATGAAACCAAAGGAAAGAGATTCAAATTAATGTTTGGTATGTGGGTTCATGTTTTTGGCTCAAGAGTTATTGTTCTAAATATAATTAGCTTTGATATAATTATACGACCCTGGTACTTAAGTGAAGCCCAAGCTGTGAATTTTTACAGGGCTATGTATATGCATACAGTTCTATATTTTAATATATTGCCAACAATATTCTTTTATAACCTTATGAACTATATTATATAAATTCAGTATTTGAAGTTATTATTCAAAAAGTTATAGGCACTCTGGACAGCAGATATTTTAATTCCAATCAGACTTATGAATTCTGAATCAAAATGTGGTTCATCAAAGCTAAGTAATATAACAAAGTTTTAATGAATATCACTTTTAGTTATGTTAATATTCAGGTAATATCACAAGGATTTTTTTAAAATAAACTTTTATTAGGTTAAGCTAATAGAGGTAATATACAAAATTTTGGTTTGTACTTTGTCAGAGAGATTTGAATCACTCTAGAGATTAATATTTAATCATGGCTCATTAATAATAATTAAGATGAGAGAACAAGAAAAACGCACGTTCATTGATGTTTGCTTCTTTGATGCTAAACGATTACACGTACTCCGTTTAAAATATTTTGAAATGTTCTTCACTATTCCAGATGTATAGGAAATGATCTACAAAGTTACTAAAAGCGAGCTTTTCTGTAATATTTTTTGCTCTTTAATAAAAGCAGTTATTTTAGCAGAATTGCTGACCTGATAATTGCTAGTGGGTCTAAATTGAATGTACTTCAGTTAATGCATCAGTAAGTGAAGTACCTTCAATGCAATTAAAAGATTCTAATCTAACCGAAGAAAAGATCTTGTTCATATTGACCACTTTAAATTCAGACTATGATTTCATATTTTCAAAGTGGCCCATGGCTTAGCTGACCCCATTAGTGGGAATACAGCTCTCCTTTGCCATAGCCAGTTGCTGCTGAGTAAGCATTTCTGAAAGCCTCTGAATGAAATTCATCAGACAACTACCATTGCCTAATTTCAGAGAAGGCAACACTAAGTAAAAAGTCATTAAGACATTTAACATGGATACTTAGGAAAGCACTAGATTGAAATAAAGGCTAATAAATAACTTACCAAGCAACAATAGTTACTGCATTTTAAGTGAATTTGGTTTTAACTTTTTTTACTTGATATTAATGTTTTTCTGCAAGACATTAAATATATTCAGGCATTTGTGACTCGACTTCTTGAATAATTAGAATTTCTTTAGTTGTCCTCTTGTGATTAATTTAGTGATTGAAAGTTTTGTGTACCTGCCCAGAGATTAATTTATGGGGGTTATGTCTTCCTGAATGGAGAGCAGTTGCCTCACTCCATCTCCCCCTACTATTATGGGGAATGCAATTGTCAAATGAATATAAAAAGAATGCATTGCAATGAGTACATCTAAGGAGTAGTAGCTTGCTCCTGACTGTTAAAAATGGACCTTGCATTTTTAAGTTAAAGAGCAGACACTGGGAGAAAGATAAAAAACTTCCTGCGCGCTTTAAGAAGGATAGCCACTTTAAGAAATTAGTTTGAACACTAACTGCATTTGCAGTCCAGTTCAATGGAATGTGTTAGGGAGCAGAGCAATCTTCCCACATTGTAGCCATGGGTATGTGGATCTGTAGCCTGGCTGACTCACCGGATGCCCTCTTTTTGGTGGTGTCTTCTGTTAGTATTTTCCAAGAAGTTGAGAGAGACTACACAAGGAACTCTTTCAGCCAAATGCCATTTTCAACTACTAGTCTCCCTTTTGTTGCGCAATGCAAGACAAATTGCTGAGTATAAAGGATTTTTCTTACTAGCTGTGACGAACTAGAGTTCATCTCCAGTTCTCTTCCAAAAATTTTCTCTGACACCCTGAATTCCTTTTCTATGGGGCTCTCAGTATACTTCAACATAGTCTTCTTCTTGTTAGTAACGTGGATATCTTGCCCAGCAGATAGACCTTCTGGAATTTAGTTTTTCGTTTTATTCCTATTCTGCAGCTATATGATCTACTCAAATTTGATAGGCCTTTAGTCAGTGGAGCGAACTGAATTAAAACTAGCTAATCTGGCCCAATTGTGTTGATTCTGCAACCACAGTAGTAATAACTGTGATTATTAATGTGTGTTTATTAAAAGCCATGGTGTATGTAGAACTTTCCAAGCAGTCAGCAACTCATATTTGTTTATGCCTAGCCCAGCTGCCTCCTCAACTTTTCAGAACATGCAATGCCTTGTCATCTACTAATGTACCACAACTGTTCTGGGATACATCTGTTTTCCTAATTGGTGGAACTGATAAGGATAAATGATCCCAGTTCTCCCCCTGCAGGGGTGCGTATGCTGTCGTAAACTCACTGAACACAGCCCTTATATATGGGGGTGGAAGGATGAGAATTACCTCTAGGGAAGGTCCTGATTTGGACCTGTGGCCACAGATGTGTAGAAAACAAAACAAAACAAAATGAGAACACCTGACTTGCTTTAGTAGCACTCTCACTCCCCATCCACTTTTTGACCACCATCCAGCCAGAGCCAGATTGCATGCTGCTTTTTCATGTTCACCCTGCCTGTTTTGGAGTGTCTGGGAAACAGAGAGAGAGGAGCATTTCCTTCCCCTAAAGGACATTTTTGTTAGACACCAGATCTTAGGATCCTTTTGCGTTGGCACTAGCTTCCATGGTGCACATTTTTCCTACTTCTGTTTCCTTTTCCTTTACAATATCTTCTGTGACTTTGGCCTTAGACCAAGTTCTAGCCAATGCTAACCTGTGCTGTTTTTGTAACTTTCTAGTTTTGAAATGCTTCTGTCTTTATAGGCCCATTGAGTAGCAGGTTTCTTAGCTGTTTGACGTATTGTTCCATCCATGAAACCTAGCAGTAGTAAAATTTCTGTAAATATCTGTTGTCATCAATAAATTGGACTCTCAATAGCTTTAGCTCTCCTTTTACTTTGAGTACATTCTTAGAATCACACAATATCATTATACTTATTATACAGCTTGTCTTGACCTCCTTGGGTTTGAAACCCTCATTGGCCAACTACTTTATTTTTTCTTTTATCTTTCATCCTATTCATTGACCTATTGTTTTTTGTAAAACTTACATTTATTTGAATTAGTTTGATCATCTGGTTCCTATTATTCAGCATGTTAGTATGCTCTAAACATTTTGTTGATCCTGTCTTCAACTCAGCAAGCCTCTTCCATATTTTCTTAAATGCAATCTTGAAATCCTGTATTACCTATAAACTGTCTCTTCACTTAAATAAAAGATACAGCTAAATTCTCCTTCTGCTGCCCTGAGCTGTAATGTGCCTAACTTGTTGTACCACTAACATTTTTTATTTTAAAAATTTATTAATTTAGAAAATGTGTTTTGAGGGCCCGGTGTGGTGGTTCACGCCTGTAATCCCAGCACTTTGGGAGCCCAAGGCGGGCGGATCACAAGGTCAGGAGTTTGAAATCAGCCTGACCAGCATGGTGAAACCCTGTCTCTACTAAAAATACAAAAATTAGCTGGATGTGGTGGCATTCACCTGCAATCCCAGCTACTCAGGAGGCTGAGGCAGGAGAATCACTTGAACCCAGGAGGTGGAAGTTGCAGTGAGCTGAGATCCTGCCACTGCACTCCAGCCTGGGTGACAGAGTGAGACTCCATCTCAAAAAAAAAAAAAAAAAAAAAAAAAAA